CCGCAGCCACTTCAGCATAAGTTCGATCCCCGGCCAGGGAGCTGACCCACATGGCACAGCAGACCTCTCCTGTCTCACCCACCGCTCCCCTCAGCAGTGAACTTTGTCAGTCTGCCTGTCCTCCTCCCCACTCTGTCTCTGGAGAATCCTCTCACCGCCCCTGCACCTCTGGCCTGTACCCCAGTTCTGAATGAATAAATAAATAAATCTTAAAAAAAAAAATGACTACTCTTCTTCCTGACCTCTGGTCAGTCACCAAGACATATTGATACTGCCTAGAAACTCCTCCTTCCATTCTGCTGTTCCTGCCTCAATATAAACGCAGGTTCTTGTCATCTCCTTGCCGGGTTATTATAAAACTCTCTTCACTGGTCTCTGCCCTTTGGATTTCACTTCCAGCCCTCTAGTTCCAGTATCCCAGTCCATCCTTCATGTAGGTTCCAGACTAATTTTTCCCTTTTTGTGGGGGTTGAGAGGATTCACCATGGGTTCCTACGAGCTGGCTACAAGATGACCACTCCCAGGCAATTGTAATCTATCTGCTATCTACAAATCACAGCAGAGCGGTCCCTTGACACCTGCAGAGTGTAACACATAGCACAAGGCAGTCCAGGGCCACCTGGGCCATTTTGACCTGATGACGTGACCACTTCCATGGCGGTCTCGGGGTGACTCTGCCTGTGATAGCGTCAAACACTTTGCTGACACAACTCTCTCTTGACATATGGCCACTATGTCCCCCGTTCCTATCCCACTCACCGGAATTTACTCCTCATGTCATTGTCGCATGATCAACTCTTACTAGCCTATGCACTTTCAACAAACGGCACAAGAACTGCAGCTCAAGTAGCAGAGTCTGGCCTTGTTAGCCTGCTCCACGACCACTGTGCCCCCATCACATTCCCACCACCAAGCGGCAACAAAGTCCTGTCATAACAACTCACCAGAGATTGAGTGGGGAGCAGAGCAGGCAGAGCTACTGAAACATACTTTTGAGGGGAGCAGCAGGCAGGACAGGAGAGGTCTGCCGTGCCATGTGGGTCACCTCCGGGGCTGGGGATCGAACTCAGCATGCACCAGTGATAGCATGATAGCGCGGAGACTTCACCCCTAGCCCACCAAGCAGAAGCAGGCCCCCAGACTCATTTTTTAACATTCTGATCTGGCTGGATCTTCTCTCATTTATGTGCTATCATAATTAGAGTGAAATCCAATATCATCATTAGAATGCAATCCAAACCTCTTTCCTGGGTTTTAACTCCCTAAGGGTGTGTTCTCAGCTTACCTCCCGAGCCTCAGTGTGTCTCCTTCTACTTGTGCCCAGTTCACATCTGAGCACACTGCATTCTCTCAGTTGCTTCCAGTCTCTGCACACACCACTCCCTCTCACTAGAATATTATACACTGTCTTTTTTTTTTTAAGTTTCTTTATTTATGCATATAAGAACTGTGGTACAGGGCAGAGGTGTGGAGGATAAGAGGATTCACCAGAGACAGAGTGGGGAGCAGAACAGGCAGATTGACTGAAACACACTGCTGAAGGGAGCAGGAGGCGAGACAGGAAAGGCCTGCCACACCATGTGGGTCAGCTTCCTGAATGGGGATTGAACTCGTGCTGCAGTGGCTGCAGATAGCTTCATAGTGCTATGCTTTAACCCGTTGCACCACCCAGAAGGGTCTGCCTCTGTCTTTAATGCCTGACTCACCATGCCCCTGGTCAAACCTGATGGCTCTTTCAGGGGCTGCAGAAGCACATGGTCATGGAAATTATTATATTTTGTTGTAACTTATTGGTACCCAGCCTGTCCTCTACACTTTGAGCTCCTAGAGACCAAGGACTGCCTTGCACATCTGTGTCCTCGATGCCCTGCATAAGGTGCCCAATCAATGTGGAATTGAAAGAAAGCTAAAGAAATGAGATGAAATTGAAAATAAATACCAAATAAGACTAATAAGGCATGAAAGGCAAAGTTGCAGGGCCGTAAGGAGAATCGGCTGCTATACAACGAGTGTGTCTCGTGTGCCACAGGGGACTGCACCAGAGGGGAGAGCAGGGACCAGTTCAGCAGAGGGGCAAGCTTCAAATTCCTCCAGAAACCCCTCTAAAACCCTCCAAAAGAGAGGACCCCTGTGGCGCAACAGGTTAAAGTACAGCACTATAAAGCTCTCCGAATCCACTGCAGCACGAGTTTGACACCTGGCCAGGGAGCTGACCCACATGGCGCAGCGGGCCTCTCCTGACCCACCCTCTGCTCCCCTCAGTATTTCAGTCCAACTGCCTGTTCTGCTCCCCACTCTCTCTGATGAGTCCTCTCACACACAGAAACCCCCCGCACCCTTGGCCTGTATCCCAGTTCCTATATGTACAAATAAATAAATCTCAATTTAAAAAAAACCTCCAAATGAAAGCATAACATCAGTAAGAAGAAGAAGAATATTTGAAGTGGTCAATTGTATTTCCTCAATCTTAAGAAACGTGAATAAAATCATCTTTCAAAACTTTGCTTTTTTAGGGCCCTCCTTCGTGGCACAAAGCGAGCCAAAGCCGCTTCAGTGTAAGTTCGATCCCCAGACCCAGAGGTGACCCACATGGGGCGGCAGACCTCTCCTGACCCACCTGCTGCTCCCCTCAGCAGTGCACTTCCTCAGTCAGCCTGTTCTACTCCCCACTCTGTCTCTGCTGAGTCCTCTCCCTCTGGCCTGTACCCCAGTTCTGTATGCATAAATAAATCTTAAAAAAAATGTTTTTTAAAAATCCTTGCTTTTTTAAAGCCTGCAACTTACAAGTTAGCTGAAAACCACTTTGTATTTAAGAATGTTTCATATTAGCCAACAACTAGAAACAAACCAAATGCACATCAACAGCAGGGTGAATAAATGATAATATATTTACACAAGAGAATGTTATAATTAATGGAACACCCCTGTTGCAGCTAACCACCTGGCTGTACCTCACAAACACAATGTTGAGTGAAAGAAGCAACACAAACAAGCACAGTCTGTGTGATTTCTTTTACACGAATTTCAAAAGCAGGAAAAACCATGGTGCTGGAGGTCAGAAGTAGTTGTTTATCTTGAGTGGGTATCAGCAGGAGGGGGCACAGGAACCCCACCTTCTGGGGCTGAAAAGTATGTTGAACTGACTGAGTGGTGGCTGTGTGGGTCCATGGATGTGTGCGCCTCACTGTAGCTAAGTCACAGCTCACTTCGAGAGGGGGCTTCTCAGTGATATTCAGCAGCGTAGTGGCCATACCAAAGCAGCTTCAAAACAAGCTGTCCTCCTCCACCACCGTAGAAGTTCCCCTATATGGGATTCTGAAGTTTCACATGTAGAAAATTTTGGAAACTCCTGGAGTATGTTTTGCAGGGGTGGGTATATGCAGGGACCAAGAGGGAATCCACCTGCTCCAGAAACGGGCTCCCCAAAGGTCGGGACAGTGTGACTTGAGCCACTGGGACAAGGATGTACATTCAAGGACACTCCCCTGGGAGTGAAGGGAGCCCCCTCATACATAAGTGCATGGCCTCATCCTTGCGTAGAGAAACAATAACATCTATCTACCAAACCAGGGCACATCTGAGAGCAAAAAAGGGCTGCATGAATATTTCGCCAGGACAGCAGACCTCAATCAAGGGGGTATAAATTACATCTAATTTAACTTCCAGATATGAAACCTGCCAGACAACCTGAAAGGAACACATACTGGAACAAGTGTGACTTGAGCCATTTGGAACAAGGATGTGCAGACAGGGCAGGAAATGGGTACAGAGAAAGCCGGTAATCAGCCAACAGTGCGGTGTTAAATGTAATTGTTCTTCAGGGAACTGGGACTCCAACCCACAGCCCACAGCCCAGCTGCTCTCCTTTCTCCTCCCCGAATTGACTGCCCCTTCCTTGGAACACCTAAACCTGACCCCACTCCCGGGCCCTCCCAGCAGGTGGTTCCCCGGACCCACTCCCTTCCCAGAACTCACTTGTCTAAGCCCCTTGCCTGCGGTTCTCTCCCTAGGCCTCAGCCTTTCCTGCCTTCTACTGAAAAGGCTGTCTTCTAAGCCCTGGGGGCTTCCCCGGCCCCAGCCAGGCCTAGAGCCCGCCCTAGAGCAGTCTGCCACGCTGCCGCTGCCGCTTCCTCTATAAAGGGACCCAGGCGACCAGGCCCAGGGGCCCCCGCACAGCAGGTGAGACTCTCTTACCCTATCTGCTTGGGCAGCAGGCTGCAGACTCCTTCCCCAGGGCTGGCAGGGTCCCCGTGGCGCCCACGCCCTCCTGCCCCCTCTGCCGGGGCCTGGGCCTGAGTGGGGTTCGTTTTGGTTTGCTCCCCTGCCGACTCTCCCAGCTGTCAGGCTCCTTCTCTCTGTCTCTGTCACACATTCTGTTTCTGCCCTGAGCACTCTGTTCCCTCCCCACCTGTTTCTGTCTGTCTCCCCCAGCTCGGCTCACCTTGGGGTGTTCCGGACTGCATCTTGTCCCCGTGGGTATCTGTCGCTGTTGCTGTGTCTTGCTTGCACGGGGTGGCTCTCTACTGGCAGGAGGACGTCTTCCGCATGGCACCCCGCCCCACTGACGGTCTCTTCCCCTGCAGGTTCTCCCCATGACACCTCCTGGACATCTCTACCTCCTGAGGGTGTGCAGCGGCACCCCCCTCCTCGTTCTGGGGCTGCTGCTGGCCCTGCCACCTGAGGCCCAGGTGAGGCAGCAGGGGGCTGGGGGGGGGGGAGGGGTGGCCCAGTCAAACTGAGACTCAGCTCAAAAGCTGAACTCTCGAAATTCTCCACTCTGTTCTCCCATAGGGCCTCCCTGGTGTTGGCCGCTCAACCTCAGCTGCCCGGACTGCCCACCAGCTCCCCCAGAGGCACTTCACCCCAGATACCCGCAGGCCTGCTGCCCACCTTATTGGTAAACATCTATCTTCCCCCTCAGATATGTAGCCCCCAGTTTTCCTCCCTCCCTCCCTCCCTCCTCCTCCCTCCCCACCTACTTGTCCATCTTCTACAACCCCCCAAAAGCAGAGGCATCCTACTCCCATCTGTCCTCCCAGGCATCCTGCAGGAACTCAGTCTGGCACCTGCTTTCTTAGGGTTGAACTCTCTGACCCCAAGGTCCTGACCACCCCACCTGCTGTGGCTTTTCTAGGAGACCCCAGCACCCAGAACACTCTACGCTGGCGAGCAAACACAGACCGGGCCTTCCTCCGCCATGGCTTCTCATTGAACAACAATTCCCTCCTGATCCCCACCAGCGGTCTCTACTTCGTCTACTCCCAGGTGGTCTTCTCCGGAGAAGGCCAACATGAGACTACTCCACTCTACCTGGCCCATGAAGTCCAGCTCTTCTCCTCTCAGTACCCTTCCCACGTGCCTCTCCTCAGTGCGCAGAAGTCAGTGGTTCCAGGGCCACAGAGCCCATGGGTGCGCTCGGTGTACCAGGGGGCCGTGTTCCTGCTCACACAGGGAGACCAACTCTCCACTCACACAGATGGCATCCGCCACCTCCTCCTCAGTCCCAGCAGTGTCTTCTTTGGAGCCTTTGCTTTGTAGAAAAATCCAGAAAGAAAAAAATCCGTTTCAAGACCTTCTCCCCAGTTTCCTTCCATTCTGACCATGTCAAAGGTCAGAACTCCTTTGACCTTTCCAACAGGCTCAAGTCTTCCCTGCTCATATCACCTGGAGTTTCCGAAGATAGCATTCTAGGCACCCCAGGGAACCACACCTCCCTGAAGCAGCCCGGATGCTCAGCTGAGGGCTTGAAGCCTGCCTAGAAATTCCTGCCAGAGCTCTCCACCTGTCCTACAGGCCTGGAGGGGGCCTAGCCCTGGACATGGAGAGGGAATACACACAGGGAGGAGGCTTGGTGGATGACTGGAGGCAGGAAGAGGGGATTATTTATGAAGAAAAATTATTAAATTATTTATTTATGGAGAGAAGGGATGGTCAGAAGAGAGAAAAGGATATGCCCACAATGAAGAGCGAAAGGACATCAAAACAAGGATGACCTGTGGAGAGAGCAAGAAAAAGTGGGGCTGAGGGAACGGGATGGAGGGGGTCACAAAAGGAAGCAAAAGGCTCCTAGAAGCCAACTTCTGCTTGACTAGACACCCCTTCTCTCCCCGAGACTTGATCTCACCCTCTATGGAGACCAATAAACCTCTTTTCTCTGAAATGCTGTCTGCCTGTGTCTGTCTGGGAGGGGAGGTTTCCAGGACTCTAAGGAGAGGAGGGAAGGGCTTGTGGGCTTGCAAGGTGATCCAGGGGCAGAGGGGCTCCTGGGAAACATGAGTGACCTGGGGGCAAGGCAGCTGGGCTGCTGCAAGGGAACCAAAGGCTACGCTGAGAAGACAAAGGGAAAACAGGGGTCTGAGGTATGGAGAGGTGGAGTTCAGGGGCCCCTGAGGAAAAATGACCCCACCAAAACCTGTTCCAGACTTTGTGGGTAGAGTATGGGGACCCTGTGGAAGATAAGATCCCTGAGAAGGGCCCTCCCCGGTGGCGCAGCAGGTTAAAGCACTGCACTAAGAAGCTAAAGCCACTTCAACATGAGTTCAATACCCGCCTGCCCCGGAGGTGACCACATGGCGTGGCAGACCTCTCCTGACCTGCCCCCTGCTCCCCTCAGCAGTGTGCTTCTTCAATCTGTCTGTTCTGCTCCCAACTCTGTTTCTGGTGAATCCTCTAACCACCCCTGCACCTCTGGCCTGTACCCAGTTCTGTATGTACAAATAAATCTTTAAAAAAAATCCCTGAGGAGTAGGAGAGTCTCTAAGGTTAGGGCCTGGGAGATGAAGGGAGCATTTGGGGTCACACATAGGGGTTCTGAGGACTAGTGGTGTCTCTGGCAATCTGGAGGGAGCAGAAGTTTGTTGAAGATACATGGCCACACACAGGGGCTCTGAGGAGTGGGTGCCTCTTGCAAAACTCAGGTCTCGGGTTCTCTTGGGAGCCAAGACTGAAACCATAACTGAGCCCTGCTCAGAATGAAAGGAGAAGGCCTGCCTTGGTGAGGCTGTGAATTCCCAGAGTTGCTTTCAATCCCTCTGGGGCTGTCCCAGTCTTATACCGATTATCCCCACCCAGCACTAACAGAGGCCCCAACCATGACCCCAGCCTCCAGTTCCCTTTCTCCCAGGCCCCTAAACATACAGACCCAACACATGTCTCAGAACTCAGCACAGCTTTCCCCCACAAGATTTTTCCCCCACCGAGGAGTCAGGTTTCACAAGCCCCTCCCATTTCCAGTTTCCCCCTCTCACACACACACATGAATCCACACATGCATGGAAATCAGAAGAAAGCAAATCACTTATTTGCCCCCCAAAATGGAAGCAATGGGAACTGGGGGACAGAGAAGATCTGGGGTTCAGTCTCCAGTGTCCTACATACACAGCAGTAACTGGCCTAGCAAGCCCCCCCTTAGAATCCAAGTAGGGGGGTTGAGAAGTATCCCTGATGCCTGGGTGTCCCCAACTTTCCAAACCCCTGGTCCCGTGATGGAGAAGAAACTGAGACAAGGTATAGGGGCCCACTACCGCTTCCTCCAGATGATCTCATGGGTTTCTCCACCAAGGAAGTTTTCCGCTGGTTCAAGAGCATATCCCCGCCCTCCTCTTACCACACAGGAGTATAAATGCAGCTGTTTGCAACTCAGCCAGCAGAAGCTCCCTCAGCGAGGACAACAGGGGACCAGCCAGGAGAAAGAGAAGCAACTCCAGACCCACCTGAAAATAATCTCTCAGGCAACACACCCCTACACAAGCAGCCAGCCAACTCTCCAGCTACCACACACTGCCCCAGGGCTTCATCATCTCCCACTTGGACTTGAACACCTCCGGGAAGAACACCATGAGCACTGAAAGCATGATCCGGGATGTGGAGCTGGCTGAGGAGGAGCTCCCCAGGAAGACAGGAGGCCCCCAGGGCTCCAGGAAGTTCTGGTGCCTCAGCCTCTTCTCCTTCCTCCTCATTGCGGGAGCCACTACACTCTTTTGCCTGCTGCACTTCGGGGTGATCGGTCCCCAGAGGGAAGAGGTGAGTGCCTGGCTACCTTGCTTCATTCTCCCACCCAGAGAAATTGGAGAGAGGACCAAGTTGGGGATAGAGGCATGGTGATGGGGAGGAGCAGGGAGGAGAAAAGTGGAGAAAGATGGGGAGACAGGAAGACATGTGGAGAAAGATGGGGGGAGAAAAAGAATAGGTGAATTGGGTGCGTGGCACGTGGACGTCTGCTCATGCTTGCTGAATGAATGAATGAGCAAGCAGCTGCACACATACAAAGAGATTCTGTAGAGACATGTGGAGTGTGGACAGAGAGATGGGGGAGAAACAATTGATCTGAATGAAGATGACGAGACAGAAAGAGAGGTGGGAGATAAGGGAGAGATAGGAGAGAGTGAAGGAGGAGAGATAAGGAAAGATGATGATAGGGCAGTTAGTGGGAGGAAGAAGGAATTCAGTGAAAGCTGTCGAGCAGATGAATGGGTGGATGAAGATGGGGTGAATGGAGAAAGAACACTAGAGGCATCAGGATAGAGAGTGCAAATTCGGTAAGCAGCCTTCTGTTTGGTGCTGATGCTAATTTTCCTTCTTCTCCCAGCAGTTCTCAAATAGCCTGCAGCTGTTTAACCCTCTGGTTCAACCCCAGACACTCAGTAAGTACCTTCAAAACCTCTCTCTTGCTTAGTTCAGGGTTTGGATGGGCCTCGGAGGCAATCCTGGGATTGGAAGTAGTGGGAGAAATGCAAAGTTTTGTTCTGGGGAGAGGAATAATGGAGGTCAAAGTGGAGAGTTCTTTTCTGAGAAACTTAAGGATTGCTTTCCTCTTTCCTCATCAGGATCGTCTTCTCGAACCCCAAGTGACAAGCCTGTGGCCCATGTTGTAGGTAAGAGATCTAAGGATGAAGATGCAGATGGGACAGGGAGGGAGAGGATTTGGGGTGCTGGCCAGGCTGAAGGGAGACAGACCTTGGAGATAGCGTGAGAACTCACTGAGTTCAGGGAGAGGGTGGAGAAACAGCACCTCATGGCCAAATGGGATGTGGGAAGACAGAGGGGGCAGGAACTGGATGTGTGGGTGAGCAGAACTTGAGGGCCCAGATGTAGAGGTCAGACTGACTCATGGTTCCCTCCCATGTTCCCTCTGTCCAGCAAATCCCGAAGCTGAGGGGCAGCTCAAGTGGCTGAATAAGGTCGCCAACACCCTCCTGGCCAATGGTGTCAACTTGACAGACAACCAGCTTGTGGTCCCTTCAGACGGGCTATACCTCATCTACTCCCAGGTCCTCTTCAAAGGCCAAGGCTGCCCTTCCAACCTCTTGCTCCTCACCCACAACATCCGACGCTTTGCTGTCTCCTACCAGAAATATGTCAACCTCCTCTCTGCCATCAAGAGCCCTTGCCAGAGGGAGACCCCTGAGGGGGCAGAGGCCAGGCCCTGGTATGAGCCCATCTACTTGGGAGGGGTCTTCCAACTGGAGAAGGGCGACCGACTCAGCGCCGAGATCAACCTGCCCAGCTATCTCGACTTTGCCCAGACCGGGCAGGTCTATTTTGGGATTATCGCCTTATGAGGGGGCAGGACGTTCCTCCTCGCCCACTTCAGTCCTTTCATTATCCACTTCTTCACACCCCCTCATTCCCTTCTGGCTTAGAGTGGGAATTAGGGGTTCAGGGCCAGGCCCCTGAACCCCTTTAAGCAACAACACTTAGTAACCTAGAATTCAGGGCTGGACAGCAGGACCCTGGCCACCACCAAGAATTAAAACTGGGGCTTCTAGAATTCACCAGGAGCCTCAGCTCAATGAAGCCTGGGACACCAGGAATGTGTGGGCCAGGCAATTTCTGGGCCTGATCAGAGCACTTCAGAACATCCTTCAAGAAGATCTCCTACAACTTGATGTGCAAGGACCTCAGGCCTCCCTTTCTTCAAATGCTTCCAGACTTCTCCCTGAGATGGGCAGCCCCTCCCCCATGGGGCTATCTCCCTCTATTTATGTTTGCACTGGCGATTATTTATTATTTATTTATTATTTATTTATTTACTGACGAATGTATTTATTCTGGAGGTCAGAGTGTCTTGGGAGACCTCACATAGGGGCTGCCTTGACTCGGAACATGTTTTCTGTGAAAACGGAGCTGAACTGTGGGCTGCCCCCAACTGGCCTCCTGGCCTCTGTGCCTCCTATTGCTTATGTTTTTAAAAATATTTAACTGATCAAGTTTTCTAAATAATGTTGATTTGGTGACCATCTGTCGCTATATCGCTCAACCTCTGCTCCCCAGGGGAGTTGTGTCTGTAACCGCCCTACTGGTCAGTGGCGAGAAATAAAGTGTGCTTAGAAAAGAAACATGGTCGTTCTTGGAACTGATTTTGTATCTGGACCTCCTTGGGGGTGGGAAGGCTGCTCCCTGAAGTCCTTGCTCCATAAGGGCTTAACTTAAGATCCCTTGCCCTGGTCGCCACTCCTTGGACTACTGGGACTCAGGAGACCCCACAGAAAACAAAGCCGGGTCGAATGTGCCCAGCCCCCAGAAGACTGGAGCCTGAACCTAATTACCTCTCCCTCTGGGCACGGGAATTTCCGACTCTGGGAATTCCAAGCCCAGCCGGGGAAGTCCTGCAGCTCAGGTGTTCAGGTGAGATTTCCGGCTGAGGCGACCTGAGAGGGCGGGGAGGGGCGCATTCTCGTGCACCTGAATCACAGCCAAGGGACTTCCAGACGTGCAGAAATCAGGGCTTCACCTGGCTGGATCCGGAGGGGGCGGGCTCCAGCCATCCAGTACTGCCCTAACTACAGCCCTGTCGGTCTCCGAACCTCATCCATCAATAATGGAGTGTGGGACTGAGCATCGCAGACCTGATCTCCATGTGAGCAAACAGGCGGTCAGGCCAGGGCGAACAGCGTGGTAGGGCGCTGTGGGCTCGCAGGGAACCCTACCTGTCTGCCTTTATTCAGCCCCAGCCATTCCCGTCTCTTCCCTCAGTGGGAAGGAAGACAGAAGAAATGTTACAGAGCAGAACTAAGATGAAGTGAAGGACCCACAGGTCCTTAATGATTTTTTCTTTCTTTATTTATTTTGGCAAATGATGAGAGGAGGAATGTGAGTTGGATGAACTGGGAAAAGTGCCTCCTCCACCCAGGTTGGTTCTTCTGGACACAGACACATGTGAGTCAGGAATAGACACCCAAGAATGCACCCCCGATGGAAAGAGCTTTCCTTCCTGTCATGCAGGGGAAAACCATGCGGTGTGCGGCAAGAGTGGGGTGACCCAGCCACTGGGGTGACCTAGATAGGTAGGGTCTTGAATGCTCCTCTGACTCCGCTTTAGAACTTAAAGTCGGTCATGAGGTGAGGGGATGCTGTTACTCACCCCAAGGTCCCTGGGAAGGAAGAAGGAGGCCTGAAGTGTGAACAAGGATGAGGACTTTCCATCCCACTGTGGCAGGGCTAGTTGGCATCACGGTTTTTGGGGTTTTTTTCTTTTTTAAGATTTATTTTTATTTATTTTTGCATACAAGAACTGGGGTATAGGCCAGAGGTGGGGTGGGAGGCAGTACATTCACCAGAGACAGAGTGGGGAGCAGAAATACACTGCTGAGGGGAGCAGCAGGTGAGACAGGAGAGGTCTGCTTGGCAATGTGGGTCACCTCCCTTGTCGGGGATTGAACTTGTGCTGTAGTGGCTGGCGATAGCCCGATAACAATGAGACCTTCACCCCTGTGCCACCAGGGAGGCCCTAGCATCAGTTCTTTCTTCTCCCTAGATTCACCCTGGTGTCCCCACCTCATCTCTTTCTGTCAATCACTTTCCCAAGTCTCTGCCTCAGCCTCCTCCTCTCACACCCCATGAGCTGTGCTTCTCTCCAGGGAGCAGGAGAGTTGATTTGGGGTGGTGGGGCTAAAGGGCCTTTAGCTAAGCAGTATGGGAGAACTGCTGAGTAGCTTAGCGCCTCATTACTTAGCACATTGGGGTTTACTCTGCAGCTAGCAGAGTGCTTGCCTTCCCTGGAAAGGCGCTTCTCATTGTTGGGAGGGACCCAAAGGAAAAGAGCGCAAGGTGAAGTCTGGACCAGGCCATGTGGCTCTGAGTCGGAGGCTGCTTGGTGAGGCTTTGAGGCTTGAGATCCCCTTCTTTCTGTGCTCCTACTGGGCTAAGGCTTGGGGTAAGGTTATTCAAAGACAGGGAGTGTGTAGACCCTTCAGACGCCCATCCTAGGGAGCAGAGGTTATACAAAGTGTAACGAATTGTCTCAAATGACCGAAAAAACACAGAACATTTAACCAACATTTGGGTACAAGCTGAATGAAGATCTAGCACCTCAGCATCTGTACTGAGAGTACTCAAGTTTTATATATATATAATTATTATTATTATTATTTGTGCCTACAGAAGTGGGGTACAGGCCAGAGAAGCAGGGCCGGTGAGAGGCTTCACCAGGGACAGAGTGGAGAGCAGAACAGGCAGATCCATGAAGTACACTGCTGAGGGGAGCAGCGGGCGGGTCAGGAGAGGTCTGCCACAACATGTGGGTCAGCTCGGGGGCAGGCTGGGATCGAACTCATGCTGAAGTGGCTTTAGCTTCTTAGTGCTGTGCTTTAACCTGCTGAGCCACCAGGGAGGGCCACTCAAGTTTTATATTTTTTATTATCATCAGGCTCAAAACCAATTTCCAACTAGTACATATTCTCCCTCCACGATGGGGGTCCCTGGTGCCTGGCTCCCCAATATCTGAACTGATTCACCCACTCCCACCACACATTCCTCACCCTACCATCACCGCCCCAAAGTAGGTCTTCCCTCTCCTGTAGTCCACCATGTTGGGGTGACTGATGTTGACGTACACCCGCTCCCCCTTCCGGAGCTGCACCAGGCCGCCGACTCCCACGCTCGTGTACCAGAGGGACCCGTAGTCGTGTCTCCTGGTGGGGTCCAACACTGAAGTGACGCTTTCGGCGCCCTCGAACAGCAGCTCGGCAGCCCCCGACCCATAGGCGCCCCCAGACCGGTACAGCCGACTGCGCAGCGTGACGGAGCTGTCCCGGGGAGCCCCGCCGGCAGGGGGCGCGCGGCCCCGGTAGCCGACGTGACAGTAGAGGTAATAGAGACCGTCCTGCGGGAGGGTCAGCCCCTCCGGAACCGAGAACTGCGTCCCGCTCCTCAGAAACGCCTCTTCTTTCTTCGCCTCCCAGCCTAGCCCCTGCCCCGCGGTCCAAGCGCCTGCGGAGAAATGCGAGCCTATCGGCTTTTGGAACCGGATCCTGAGAGGAGCTATCCAGACCGGGATTCTGGAAGGGTGGGCATGCGCGGGACTGAGGGGTTTGTAACCCCTGCCGGAACCGAGTGGGCGGGAGGGCGTCTGAGCTGGAGACCGAGGACTCCTGGGTGTGGGTGAGGATCGCGCTGCTCTAGGGATTGGGCGGGATTTTGCTAGCTTGGGGAGGGAAACTAGAAGCTAGATTGCAGCGGAAGGCTGGGCACGTTAGGGCTTAGAGGTGATGAAGCGCATCGCAAACCAAGCATGCAGGAACTAAGCAAAGGGACTCTACCTGCGGACGAGCAACTGGCGCCGTTCAGTTCCGTGGGATTCTTACCTATGAGGTGGGCGGCTGGGAGGCTGGAGCTGGGATCTGATTCTGTCCCCTTCTCCGGCAGCTCCTGGGATCTTGGGTGGGGCGAAGAGCTCACTGTTGGGAGCAGAGTGACCACCCATGCATGATCCCCCTGGGAGCACAGGGCACCAGAGCCCAGGAATGGGGCACCTAGGTTCCTAGAGGGACAGAAAATCTGGGATGCAGCTGGATGGGATCCAGACTCCCTAAGGGGCTGCAGCAGGATTGGGGGCTTTGGGGTGGGTGGTTTCCTCTTACCCTCTTGATGCTGGGCTTCTGCTTTCAGAGGGTCAGCTGTCCCTGTTACCTGGGTGGGTGGAGCCACAGTGCCCAAAGTTCAGCCATAGATGATGCCAGCTGCCTCCCTCCCAAGAAAGATCCAAGCTCCAGGCCTGCGTTTCCTCTGCCGCCACCCCATCCCAACACATATCTCCCAGGAAGGCAGAGCAAGCAAGGTATATGTATTTGGGCAGAGAGACAGAGGCCTGAGTAGACTTGGGAAGAGGAGCGGAGACAGACAACCAGGAAGGAACATGGAGATTTCAGGACACAACAGCATCAACAGGGACCTGGCAAGAGAGCCAGCAGAGGCAGACAGGACAGTCCGCCAGGGCCGGCCATGTCAGCAGAGAGTATGGGGCAAAAAGCCTCAGGCAGAGCCAGAGGTAAGTGGGCATCAGCAGCCATAGCCCTCTGGGGCACTTGTTGCAGCCACTTACCAGTCCTCTGTGCTCCTGGGGCAGCAAGACCAGCACAGCCAGGACAGTGATAGGCACGGCCAGCAGCAGGGTGACCAGGGAGGTGGCTCCAGCCACAGCCAGCAGGAGGCAGCCCTTCCCTTGGGGCCTCCTACCCCCGCCCTCCAGCCCCAGTGCCTCCATTGAGACTGAGACAAGGCCAGGGTAGGGGGGCTTTCATACCTCAGGGGTGGGGCCACCCCCTCCCCAGAGACACACACCTGGCAGGGACTTTCCACACAGCCTTGCTCCCCTCACCCAGCTTCCTGTTTACCCAGAGCTAGGGTGGGGCAGCTGGATGTCTGGGTTCTCTGAATTGGGGAAGGAGTTGGGGTGAAGAGATATCCTTTCACAGTAAAGGTGGAGGGGATCACAGAGATCTTATGGCCAAGCAGGGAGGGAAACCAAGACCCAGGGAGGGAGGTCAGTTTGCAGAAAGTCAGGTAACCAAGCTGCAATGAGAATACAGAACTCCAGATACCAGTGTAATCTTCATTCTCTACACCCCAGAATTGGATGCTGGAGGGCGGGCTGTGTCCACTCTCTGAGGTCTAGGGATGGGGTGGGGGACAACAACTAGGCCATAAGGGAGGGACGTCTGCATCCCTACGAACCTATCCTTACACTGGACTAATCAGCCATTCCCTTGCTCATCCCTGGCTTCAAGGGCTAGGTGAGAAAATGGAGTTAGCCAGTCACAGAAATGGCTGCTGAAGGAGGCTGCAGCCTTATCAGTGAACTAGCAAACCCCAAGGAAGGATGGAAATGGAACACTCCCTTGCTACACAGAGTGTAGGGAGCACCACAGCAGGCACCCACTCTCAAAGACCTTCACAGTCTTGAATGGCCCCATCGTGGCCCTCCCTGGTAGCACAATGGGTTGAAAGTGCAGCACTGCAAGCTAGCTGCAGCCACTTCAGTGCAAGTTGGATCCCTGGCTCCAGAGGTGACCCACATTAGCAGGGCAGACCTCTCCTGATCCACCTGCTTCTCTCCTCAGCAGAGTACTTCTTCAGTCTCTCTGTTCTGCTCCCTGCTCTGTCTCTGGTGAACCCTGTCACCACCCCTGCACCTCTGGTCTGCAACCCAGGTCTATATGCATAAATAAATAAATCTTTTAAAAAAGAGAGAGAATGGTTCCACCATTAGAGCTGACTAAATGTCTATGGATAAAGAGCAAGTGAATAATAAGTAATAAGCAGCCAGGGTAAGATGAATGGTGTGGTAGGCAATGTGGTCAGAGCTGAAGCGATAAGGTCTACGCAGCTTAGGTGCTGTGATCTCATCCAGGGCCCTGTGGGTTTTTCTCCTTGGTTTCCTGGCCCAAGGTTTCTCTTGCAACCATGCTTTGCCAGATTCTCAGTTGGCCCAAGAAGCATCCTCGCTTGATCCCCCGTCTGCATTTATTGGAGCAAGAGGTCCTGGGGCTGGGTTGCGTGTCATGCATCTAGCTTTGTTCAATCCAGATGTCAGTTACAACAGAAAGAATAGCCCAGAATGGGCCTCCCTGGTGGCCCAGGGGTGAAAATATCAAGCTATCGGCAGCCACTGCTGCACGAGTTCAATCCCCAGCCAGAGAGTTGCTGCTCCCCTCAGCAGTGTATTTCGGTGGATCCGCCTGTTTTGCTTCCCACTCTGTCTTTGGTCTGTGCACCACCCCCTGCACTCTGGCTTATAAACCAGTTCTTGTATGCATAAATAAACAAAAAAAAAAAACAAACCTGGAACAAACTGGTCCCAATGATCAATACAAAAATCGACTCAGTAAATGAAGATTGTAGCGAACTGAAGAAAAAAGCACAGACTTCCAGTGAAATTTTTCACTGGAAAGCTGCTTAAATGAAGGTTATGCAGAAGCCATCCACACAATATCCCACTATACCAGGAAGTTCTTCCCTCGAAAGCACAAAATCAGGTTGGTGTGTTGTGTTGGGATTTACACTAATAAATATTTGAAATTGGAGGAAAAAGAGACAAGGTCTAAGGAAGTTGGAAGTGGCCCCGAGTCATCTCCCCTTCTTGACATCTGTCTGTTCAGATGGTGGTGATGGTGATAAAAACTAACACACAAATAGCAGTCAGCATGTGTCTTCCAGTGTGCTGTACACTATCATTTTTTAAAATTTATTTATTTATGCAAATAAATTGGGGTATGGGCCAGAGATGCAGGGACAATGAGAAGATTCATCAGAGACAGAGTGGGGAGCCGAACAGGCAGATTGACGAAGTACACTGCTGAGGGGAGCAGCGGGTGGGTCAGGAGAGGTCTGCTGCACCATGTGGGTCAGCTCCCTGGCAGGGATCCAACTCGTGTTAAAGTGGCTGTGGCCAGCTTCCCAGTGCTGTGCTCTAACTCATTGTGCCGACTCTTTATATATAACTAGTTTAATCCTCATAGAAACTCTAACTGGCAGCTGAACACAGAGACAGCCCAGGATTAGAAACTAGTGTGTCTACCTCTTGAGTTCTGACCACAAGACGGTTTAAAAATTGAGTACTGTCTTTAGATTTGTGCATTTCACTGTATGTAAATAATGCCTTCCTCAGCCACCCACCAAAAAAAGAAATGGGGAAATAAGTACTAACCTTGAGTCAATGATAAGCATGGTCAAGTGCTGAGAGGCAACATATACTAATTTTGTAGCTTTGAAAGATATCAAAAAATGAGATGGATTTATACACATATGATAAAACAGAGAAATGTGAATGATAGAATATGGATGTTAGGGATATGTTCACTGTATAATTATTTCATTTTATTCTATGTTTGATTTTTTTCATAATAAAAAATAAATAAAACCTGAATATTGACTTACTCTATTGGTGGGTAGGGGAAAAGGGGCAAAATAGCAGAAAATTCCTAAACCTGAAGAAGGAAATGCAAATGCAGATGGACTCAGGCATCAGATCTCCAATTCACATCTCTCCTTCACAAGAGCTACCCAGTCTTCATTCTCCTCAAGGACTGGATGTGCAATCTCTAGCGCCCTCACCGCAGTGCCCCTATGATGTCTTCAGGTCTCTGTCCAGAGGGTCTTGGACCATTGCCCTAACTTACTTTTGTGTGCAACATGAAAATGCTGCTTCCTGCAGGAAGTCTGCCTGGGTTGCCCACATATCGTTTCCCAGCATCACTTTATCATCAAATTTCTGTGCTATATCTACCAGCAGTGCTCCTTTAGAGCTAGTCTGGCTACCCCTCACTTTCCTGTTTGTTATCACCCAAGGACGCTACTAGATACAACCCCAGAACTGCAGGTGAGAAACCCCAAATGCACTAGAGCTCCCAGTCTGACGTGGGAGCCAGGGTGTGTGTCTACATATACACACTAGGATCATGGCTCTGAACAGATGCATTGTGAGGAGTAACTGGGAACAAGTTAATTAGGGAAGGCACCCAGAGGAGGTGAATATTCTATTCACTCTTTCCTGACTAGTTGCAGAATCAATAGGATTGCTAGAATCAGGGTAGGAGGTTTGAGGGGGTGTCAATTTACAGGCCAAGTTACAATTCCAGCAGTCTACTTCCAAATGGGGAAAGTCGCAATTTATTTGAAAAGGTTGATTTCATTTCAGCCCAAATATTGATTTTTCACAACATTAGAATTTAAGAATGGGAGCGTGGGCCCTCCCTGGAGGCACAGCGGGTTAGGACATGGCACTGCAAGCTGGCGGCAGCCACTTCAGCACGAGTTTGATCCTCAGCCCTGGAGGTGACCCACATGGCCCAGCCAACCTCTTCTGACCTCCCGCTGCTCCCCACAGCAGTTTACTTCGTAGATCTTCCTGTTCCACTCCCCACTCTGTCTCTGATGAAGCCTCTCACTGCCCCTTCACCTCTGGCTTGTACCCCAGTTCTGTATAATTAAATACATAAATCTTGAAAAAAAAAAGTTTAAAAAAAAAGAAATGGGAGCATAGGGACTATGTTGTTCCTTTTCCCCAACCCACCAAGTCCCCCATACAATATAGTAAGTGAATATTTTGGGGTTTTTTTTTGTTTTTTTTTTTGTTTTTTTTTTACTTTTTATTATTAAAAAAAATTCTAGATGCTGTAATGCCAGCATCTAGAACATGGCCTGGCATAACAGACTATATAAAAATTTCCAGGGGCCCTCCCTGGTGGCGCAAAGGGTTAGGACCCAGCACTACAGCAGGCTGGCCACAGCCACTTCAGTACAAGTTCGATCCTTGGCTGGGGAGGTGACCTGTATGGCGCAGCAGATCACACTGCTCCCCTCAGCAGTGTACTTCCTTGATCTGCCTGTTCTGCTCCCCACTCTGTTTCTGGTAAATCACCACCCCTGCACCTCTGGCCTGTACCCCAGTTCTGTATGCATAAATAAATATATCTCTAAAAAAAATAAAAATTTCCAGAATGAACTGAAATCATTTCGCATCTGCTTTTGGGCCAGGCACTATGTTCTGTACTTTGAAATCTTGGTTTCATGTGATTTTTATCACAGCAATTCAGGAATCTGATTCACCCACGTGGAAATAAGTTCAGAGAGGTTTATTCTCTGAGACAAATAACTACCAAGTCATAGGAAAGATGTTGTAACCAAAACCCTCAAAGCCTAATGTTCCCCCTCTCTAGCGGTTCAGCCCAGGAGGAGCACTGTAGGTCACTGACACTGGGTGAGCCAGGAGAGAGCAGTCACTCTGGTGGGGGAACCAGAGCAGGGGTGAGGACACCTACCGCGGAGTAAGCTGAGGCTATGATGAGGGAAGGAGGAGTATGGTTTTGAGGCTCCCTGGAGGGGCCCTCTGTCTAGCCTCTGTCCCTGCTCACCAAGAAATGAAAACCAATTCACATCTGCACCACTGCCCCTAAAGACCACCCAGGCCACCCTCTCCTCTGCTGTGTCTCCCCCAACAACCCCCAACACACACACACCCCCAGCAGTTCTCCTGAACCCAGGAAGCTCTGTTCTAGACCCTGGTCAGTGCACCTAGCTCTAGGGTCAAGTCAAGCTTGCTCTCGGCCCTCAAACAGGAACCTGGTTGTAGAGCAGGAAGTGCCTAAGGGAAGTTCAGCCACCTCAGATACTTTTCCACACTCCCATTTCAGTCACAGAAGTATTTGTGGAAAGTGGATCTCCACAAGCAGTTAACCCAGGGTTCTGCTCTTTCACTACTTCTGGGACTCAGGAAGCCCAAGTAGCCATGGAAAACAACCTCCCCCATTTTCCCACCTGTTTCCACACACTCCAGACCTTGACTGCTTTTCTTCCTCCTCCATCAATCAGCCCCTTCACCACAACCTAGAAAGATGCAGTGCTGGAAAGGCACCTACGAACCACTTGGTTAGCCTGGGGTGGGTGCTGGGGCTGGACTGAGGTGCCCTCAACCCCCAACACTGCCACTTCTGGCCTGGATGTCTTCATAGAGTCTGGGCTTCAGTCTTGGGTTCCTGACCAAGGAAATGAGGTAACATGTTGTTGCAGGAACTTGCAGTAATGCACGGAAAGTGTCCAGCTGAAGGTTGGCACATAAGTGAGGCTCCACAGCCTGGGACCAATTGTAACGGGGGACCCATAGTTTACAGATGAGGAACTTGGGGCACGTGACTGTCCCAGGCCGGATAGCCTGGTAGAACAGAGGTGAGGCTTCCTGACGTGCAGGTCAGGCTTCAGTCCCCAACTAACAGAAATGAGTGAAGAAAATGCAGGTGGGTTGTGGGTGCCCAGGGAGCAGTGGGTGGAAAGTGGTATGGACTTTGTGGTGTGGAAAGTGGTCCAGGTCTCTCAGGGCCAGCTGGTAGATGTGGGCAAGGGATGCCGCAGGAGACCTAGCGGCGTCAGAGGGTGGCGGGGAGCCTCTGAGGGGTGCGCAGTGTATGTGAGGTAACCTGTGAAAGACAGGCACCTCCCTCAGGGGGTGAGGTCACAAGGTCTGGGATGAAGACTTTTGAGAATATGTCTTTCTGCCTCAAACTATTGGAGATGGGAGCCAAGATATGCATGCCACTCAGGAGCAGGGGGTAGTTGGAGAGGGAATTGAGCCATCTCTGACCGACTGCTTTTCCTTACAGACACAAAGTCATACCTGATTTATGGGAGCTTTGGACTGGGAGGGCTCCTGCTCTTGATCGTGGTCATTCTGTCCATCTCTTTGTGTCGGCTCCATCAGAGAGGTGAGCCTCGAGTCCCCCTCATTTGCCCACAGCAGTTGCCCTTACCCACACCCTCTCCCAGAAGTCCCCATCAATCCCGACATGCCCAGGGTGAGGAAGGTGGTGAAGTCAGGTGGGAGGGGGCAGGGGAGAGTGTCCACAGAGGCAGTGGTCCAGGCTGTGGCCACGGGCACCACGGGAAACCTGCAGGTGAGGAAACACCCTGAGGGTGGGGAGCACTCCTTGGGGCTGCAGGAGCCAGTGAGGAGGACCATGCTAAGCTGCTGCTTTTCTTCCAGTGAAGAGGCTGGAGCTGAACAGGGTGAGTCTGGGAAAAGGGCAGGGAGTGACTGGGTGACAGGAGGGAGACAGGGGAGCAAGAGAAGACAGAAAACAGGAACATGAGTGAGTCAGAGAAAATGAGAGGCAGAAGAGAAAATGAGAATTGGTGTAGAGCTACAAGGGGGGATTACACAGAAAAGAGAGGAGGAAGTGAGAAAGACAGAGCCGGAAGAATAAGAAACTTAGAGAACAATAGACACGGGAAAATGAGAGAGGAACCACGAGAAAAGTTAAGGGGGAGAGAATAAGAATGAGCCATGGGGAGTGAGTGAGAGAGACAGAGAAAGGGCAGTGAGAGACCAGAATAGAGCAGTGTTTAGGCCAGAAGGAGGAAGAGGAAGAAGAGGAGGAAGGGAAGGGAAGAAAGGGAGGGGAGGGGAGAAGAGAGGGAAACAGAGAAAGCTAAGCAGGGGAGAATGAATAAGCAGTGAGGTAAGAGTGTGGGGGCGGGGCAAAAAGTCCCAGGGGAGGATGGTGGGAGCAGGCTCCTGGGTGACCGTCACCTCCTGTCTGGCTCCAGGCCCAGCTCTCGGAGCAGGAGCTACACTATGCATCCCTGCAGAGGCTGCCCAGCAGCGAAAGAGAAGGCTCCAAAGAGGACGCCAGCGCCGACTACGCTTGCATTGCCAATAACAAACCCACCTGAGAACCCTGAATCGCCTCCCTCAGCGCAGGTGGGCGGTCAGCACTGTCCTGTGGTTCATCCAGTAAAGACCGTGGTCTTGCCACCTTCTGTGTCTCAGGGTTCTCAGTTCATCTCCAGCCCCCCACCAATATGGCCACCAACAAAACTGAAACGACTGGCCTTCCTTCCCGCCCGGGCTCAAGCCTTGATTTGCTAAGTGAAGAAGGGTCATTAGGGACTGGAACTCCCCTGGAGGCCTGGAAAGAGCATGTTCATGTGTGTGGGCAGCTGAGAAGCAGGACCGGTCAGATCTGCTGTAGCTCATCTCTCAGGAGAATCAGGCTGGAATTTCTGAACCAAGAGGGATGGGTGGGTGGAGTCCCACGAGAGTCCTAGAATGGGGTCTGGGTCGCTCTTAAAGAAGTCCCCTCACTGGGCCTTTCTGGGTCAGAACTGGTATAGGGAGAGTTGAGTCAGGACAATCCAGGCCGGGCCACATTAGGGCATCTGGAAATTAGTGAAGGATATATAGATTCATGAAAAAGAAAGCGTGGTGGTTTTTATTGGGGTCTCATGAAAAGAGTGTGCTCACTGGGGCTGGGAATGGCCACCCAAGGCGTGTTCCCATGACAGTGGCCTGTGGGACAGCCTTCTTCTCTTCTGGATCCCTGCCTCCTCCTTTAGCTCCCTCCTCCCCCCCTTTCCCATCTCAGCCCCTCCCGCCATTGCCCTGGTAACAGATGGCCGCTGCCCAAGGCCACAGAGAGAAAGCAGTAGGCACAGCAGGTCCCCATAGGCAGAGGACTGCAGTAGCTGCTAGCTTAGGGGGTCCTGCACCCGTGGCTGCTGGAGAGCAAGGAGTTGGTAAAGGACCAGGGGAGATGCTGGCTCAGGGAGGGCCCACGTGGAGGAGGTCCCAGGGAGGAACACTTCACTTCCAGGGACATCTCCAGGAACCTGTCTTTCTCCACCACCAGCAGTCCCAGTTCCTGTTTCAAAACCGAGATCCAGCAACTCTGCCCTGCACTACACTGCGGCATCACAGACTCTGGGTCCCAGATGTGCAGCACGGCCTGGTGGTCATGCAGGAAGCGGGGAGAGGCCAGAGGAGGCAGGCCTCCTTCCCTGGGGCCACCCTGTCCTGGTACCACCTGACGGAACCACAGCTGGCATTGAAGGAGCAGGCCCAGAAGGCAGTGGCGCCCTCCTGGGTATGATCTCAGGAGGCTGGGACACCCAGAGAACAGAACACTGGATCCTGGCAGCAGAGAGAAGGCCCAGAGAAATACCCCCAAAGAGAAAAGGCAAGGGAGCTTGCAGGAGAATACCCCAATTGTCCCTCCACCGTCGGAGGACCCAGAGGGACAAGCCCTTTGGATTCTTCATTAAACCTCATTAAACCCCTTTTCTTTTTTTCCTTTTTAAGATTTATTTATTTATTTATACAGAACTGAGGTATAAGCCAGAGGTGCAGGGGCGGTGAGAGGCTTCACCAGAGACAGAGTGGAGAGCACAACAGGCAGATCCATGAAGTACACTGCTGAGGGGAGCAGCGGGCGGGTCAGGAGAGGTCTGCCACGCCACGTGGGTCACCTCTAGGGCGGAGATTGAACTCGCACTGAAGTGGCTGTGGCTAGCTTACAGTGCTGAGTCCTAACCCGTTGCATCACTGGGGAGGGCCAAACCCCTTTTCTTACCAACCTAACTTTTTTTTTTTTTTTTTTTTTGCATGGAACTGGGATACAGGCCAGAGGGGCAGGGGCGGTGAGAATGGAGAGCAAGCAGGCAGATTTATTGAAATACATGGCTGAGGGGAGCAGCAGGTGATATAGGAGAGTTCCGCTGGGCCAGGTGCTTCAGCTCCCTGGTGGGGGAACTCAAGCCATGGTAGTGATAGTGCTGAGACTTAACCCCTAGGCCATCAGGGAGGTCCCCAACCTAATTTATTAACATCTTTTATTAAAGTTCGTTTTCAAGTTCGTTCCTACAACATCCCTTCCCCCGCGGTCGCTCTCTGCCTGTGTGCTGGTGCTCCAGTTCACCATCTTGCTGAAGTTTAAACTGCCGATGCAGCTGAAGCTCACTAATGAATGTGGCTGCCAAAGTAACTGATGTCATTAATTACATTATTGCATATATTAATTGAGAACTAACAGCATTCTGTAATAATAGTCCCCTTTTCACTTTGCTTTTTGTTAGTATTAATAATTACAATTCAAATGAAGACATGGCTATAATTGATTAAGATCCCTATTTAACTTATCCACATTGATGTTAAACCATCTGTTAAAGCTCCTGATTAAATTCATAGTTAGTGACATGTATATGTCATTCTTCTATTTTAGTGGCTCTCAAATTTGAGTCTGTTAATAAGAATCACCTGGAAGTGTTGGTTAAAACAGATGCCTGGGCCTCACCCCCAGTGTTTACTATTTTTATTCAGTGGATTGGAGTGGGGCCTGAGAATGTATACCCTGGTGATGCTAAAACTGATGTTAAATCTTCTGGTCTGGAGTCCACATGGTATTTAGTTAATGAACACGTCTGAGCGTTAAGGCATTTCATTTAATTAAATTCAGTTTCACTAAAAAACTTATCTGAGTTTTAATTAGATCTCCTAAACTCCTAATTATATTCAGACCCTAGATAATAAGCTTTGTTTAATAGGCTTATTAAACTCATCAAATTAAAAGTGACCCCTTAAAAATAATTGACCCCTCCCTTGAATCCTTTCCTTACTTCAAGTCATTTTCACTGGTTCCTTCAATTTTATCTTACTTGGAAAGCAGGGTGAAGAGTTCTGGGGTGGAAGCTGAAGAGTGCCCTCCCAGGGGACATCACCAAGGCACACAGAATCAGCTTTATGGGGGAGTCCACTCGAGTCAGCTTGATGGAGAGTCCCCGTCCACTCCCACTCTCCCACCCTTGACACTCACCCAGGGTTCATTGCTCAGTCCCCACTGAGCCTGCTTCCCTAGGGCATTTATGTCCCACCCTCCCACCCCCCAGCCCACATCCTTTGGGGTCCTGGGAGAAAACCCTGCCGTCTGGACAGTCATCGATAAGCATGAGCAACAGCATCCTGGTCATGGGGGAGGGTGTCACAGTGGGAGGGGAGCAAGGGCAAGAGCGGAAGAAGAAACAAAACCCACTGCTTGTGGTCAGGTCTCAGGTCACCAGATGGGGGTGGGGAGCATCCTGTGACCCAGGACTCACACATCACTTGCCCAGCACCGCGAGCGCCAGGCACCTTGGGCATCAAATAATGAGCCCGGAGGAGAAAGGATGCTGCAGAAGGCAAGGTATGGATGGATTGCTAGGTGATGGGGGCCTTGCGTGCACAGGTTGTCTGAAGGCAAGAATGGAGCTTAGGTGGCTGGTAACCCACGGAGAGGGTGGGAGGATCAGACCAGGATGTGGTTCTGAATTCAAGAAGACCTGACTCCTCTCAGCAGAAACCACTAAAAGCCTGGTGGACCCCTCGAGCTGACCTATTTCCCTCCTTGCAATTGCAGAATAGCGCCCCCCACCCCCGCCACACACACATCTTCCCTAGACCCACTGACTGGGGTAGAAGCACAGTGAGGGCAGTGGATGGAGACGTTTGAACTCATTCACATTATAGCTCCACGAAGAAAATACACTGCTGAAAGAGGTCTGGTTCTCTGGGCACATTCTACACTCACAAGTCACCCCCTAGTAAATCCGCTTGTTTAATGTGTTATTCACTATTTAACAATTACAGAACAACCACAGGGTACCCATTCCGTGAAATGTATCTTTACAGGCACAGAAGAAAGGAGCTGCGTGGATCACTATGGCTCAGTGTTGAAGGGGATCAGAACCCTCTGCATGCATCACACGTCCCCAGCACACAACAGAATACAGAAAAGGAGTAGTGGAACACTCTGGGGGAGGCATGCAGCCCCCCCCCCTCACTCTTTCTGGCCCCTTGTATATTAACCCTTATTTTTCCTTTGTGTTGTGTTTCCTGCTCTTGCTCAATACTGCACACTGCAATTCCTGCCTTCACTGCAAGGATTGGAGCTTTTGTTTTGAAGAAGCAGTAAAGAATACCTGCTTGGATCAGGCTGGGGTTTAGTGGCAACTCCCCCGCAAATAGTTACATAATCTTGAACAGGTTACCTAGCCTCTCTGAACCACCTAGACAACCACACATGCCACACAACCTAGGAAGGACTGAGTCAGCCACTCTCTATCCCTGAGGTTGAGGCGACTGCTTATCAGCCACCTTGCGGGTAGGATGTGGATGGAGGTCCCGTGGCAAGACGCGTGCTGCCCCCTGGTGGCAATAGCGCACGAGGAAGGGTTCATTATAGCTTGTGCCAGGTCCTTTTCATTGCCTCCTCCAATCAGCACCCCACTCCCACTCCAGAGAGTTAATGTAGGGAAAACCGCCTCTTGTACTCAATTACGAGAAATCCCGCAGTTTGGGGGTGGGGGTGGGGATTAGCATGGGCTACTCCACACTTTTTCACAGTGCCCGCTCATTCTCAAAACAATGCTCCTGGTCTCAGGGAGCAGTGCAGTTTAGAGGTCCAATCGGCCTGAGGTAGAATCCTGGTTCCACCACTCACCCATCTGTAAAACGGGAGTTACACCTGTCAACTTGGCCCCATGGACTGGAGGATCAGTGCCTGTTAACCCCCAGCTTCTCCCCAGACCTGGGTGCCGAACTCAGCTGCACTTGAACTCAGGTTGTCTTGCTCACGTCACCTCTTTAAGATTTCCAGTACCCAAAAATGTGACTTCCAAAGACAGTACTGGAATTTGTTTTTTAAGTCCACCTAGAATAACTGGTATGGATTCTTTTAAAAGAAATCTGAGCCCCAGGGCCTCCCTGGTGGTGTAAGAGGTTAAAGTGCAGCACTGTAAAGCTGTCCACAGTCACTGCAGCATGAGTTCCATCCTCAGCCAGGTAGGTGACCCACAGGGCCCAGCAGACCTCTCTTGTCTCACCTGCTGCTCCCCTCAGCAGTGTATTTCAGACAATCTCCCTACTCTGTCTCTACAAAACCCCTCCAGACCTCTGACCTGTACCTCAGTTCTTGTATGCATAAATAAATATATATTTTATAAAAAAAAAAATCTGAGGCCCTCCCTGGTGGTGCAGCGGGTTAAAGCACTGCACTGAGAAGCTAAAGCCACTTCTGCATGAGTTCGATTCCGGCCTGCCCTGGAGGTGACCACATGGCGCGGCAGACCTCTCCTGACCCGCCCGCTGCTCCCCTCAGCAGTGTACTTCATCGATCTGCCTGTTCTGCTCCCCACTCTGTCTCTGGTGAAGCCTCTCACCGTCCCTGAGCCTCTGGCCTGTACCCCAGTTCTGTATGAACAAATAAATAAATCTTTAAAAAAAAAATCTGAGACCCTATAGAGAACTTTCCTCAGAACCAAGACTGCTATGCTAACCAGCTCAGTGGACACAAGGATGGAATTTTTTTTCTTAAGGTTTTATTTTTATTTATTTATGCATATAAGAACTCTGGTTGTAGGCCAGAGGTGTGGGGCATGGCAGGATTCACCACAGAGTGGGGAGCAGAACAAGTGGGTCTACTGAAATACACTGCTGGAGCAGTGGGCAACACAGGAGATGTCTGCTGTATCATGTGGGTCAGCTCCTTGGCCAGAGATTGCCAGCAGCGACTGATGATATCTTTACAGCACTGAGACTTTAACCCCTGTGCCATAAGGGAGACCAATTTTTCAAAACAAATTTTGACCAAGGAGCCTCCCTGGCAGCCTAAGGGTTAAGTCTCAGCTCTACAGCTGAGCTCCCCAACCAGGGATCTAACCCACATATGGCACAGCAGACCTCAACTATCTCACCTGCTGCTTCCCTTAGCTATTCATTTCAGTAAAATCTGCCTGTGCTGCTCCCCACTCTGTTGCTGCTGATTCCTCTCATTCCCCGCACCTCTGGCCTACACCCTAGTTCTTCTATGCAAAAAAGAAAAGAGGTTTGGCCCTCCCTGATGGCGCAGCGGGTTAAAGCACAGCACAAAGAAGCTTAAGCCACTTCTGCATGAGTTCGATCC